TTTCCATCCGCAGATTTTCTTCCCTATCTGCTTAAATCAAGTAAATTTAAACCTATTTCAAGAAAAAAAATACTTGCATTTAAATTTTTGCAGGTTATGTTTTCAGTAGAGGTGCCATGATAGGTCTGCAGAGCCACTGGTCCCTGAGGGCCCCCATCTGGAACCGCCCATGTTCAGATAAAAACCCATCAACTCAGTGAAACTAAAGCACATTTTCCTCTCCTGAAAATGCACCTTTTGAGTCTCATTCAAAACTTTTTCAGAAACCAGAGTTTGATTGATTGATAATTAATTGATGATTAAAAAGTTTCTCATCATCCAGAAATCTGATAACTAATCTGAACGAGGCTAACTACAAATGCGTCCATGTTTTCCTTCACGTCTGACTAATTTCTGACCAGAACAGCTTTTTTCCACTCATACTTTCAGATACATTATAAAATAAATGAGATCATATAAAATATTTTGACATGACTCCTTATAAAGTCATTAAATATGATAAGAAACAAACTAAGTTCAGTAACATTTTGATGTTTTCATCAGCATTATTTAAGTTTGCTAATGCTTTATAATGTTGAGCTAATCAGGCTGAAGTAAAAATTGTTTGAATTAGAAAAAAAAGCTTAAAATATTAGAGAGGAACATAGAAAACAATCCTCAGTTCAAAACATAGAAAATATGTTAAAATAAGGCCACATTTATGACAGTACATTTAACAGTGAATGAATCTGGGCTATTATCTTAGTGACCAGCAGGGGGCGTAGGCTAATCATCTATCAGCTGTAAAAATCCTAGATATTATATATACTTTTTTCTTTTTTTAAATAAGCTTTATTTGAAAATTCTTTATAAAACAAAAATTAAGGAGTATGATTTCCTGTGAACAATCGCAAAGGGTTTAAACAAAAAATTATAAACAAAAATAACTAGAATAGTAAAAATAATAATAGAGATTAAGTAAAGCTACACATAGAAGCATGTAAAGGGATTACATAAATATTTTGAATTTAAAGTATAATGATAAAATTTTAACAGCCTTTTTGTTATTAGAGGAGGATAATGTAGAAAAATAAGTTGTTGCTTCCTTTAAAATAAGAGATAGATGAGGGTTTAATCCTAATAATTTTATATTTATGGATATAAAACATGGCCAACAGTAGCAAAAGATTACATAAGAAGAAATGGTCAGAAAGTTATTTTTTTAATATTTTGATCCCAAATGAAACATCCTTTAAATAAAGTTCAAATTTATCATAAATGTTGTCCAGAATAAAGCGACAAATGGCTTGCCATAGCCGCCTGGTGTTCAAAGGACCAGAACAGGTTAGAGGGAAAAGCTGCAGAAAATAAAACCTGCATCAATGTTAGACGTTTTATAGGTAGACGCCTCATTGGATGCTGGCCGACGTGCCTAGAGGGCGGCCATCTTGGATCGGACCACCTGTTGTGAGAATGAACAGGAGGCGCCATAGATCTCATTTTAATCACATATTACAATAAAATTATAATAATCTCTGTCATGTCACAACAACTTAAAAGATCAAAACTAATTCTAAATTACTTTTACGTTAGATTACACATATATATTCAGAGTAAAAACTACTTAAACTGAACTCAAACTGAATAAAATCTATATGCAAATATATATTATATTTATATATAATATATATATTTTGATATTAAATAAATTGATAAACACAAAGTTTTATATTATGTTATAAGATTATGTTTTAGAAATATACATTTATATTCTATATTATTGAGTATTTTTAAGGATTGCTCTTTGATAATGAGTATTCTGATCTATAGAGGAAAATTTGTTGTAATGTGATTTACAAAACAGAGTAAATTATTTTTATTTTATGTACATTTTTATTTATTTTTGGTAATTTGCAAGACTTTCTGTCAAGGCTTTTTGCCTAAACGTCTTCCAAAACTAATTTTTTAAACTATATTTAACCAGTTAATGTGTGTCATATATATAAATATATATATATAAAAAGCAAGCTTAAAAAAAAAGAAATTAGAGATATTACAATAATCTTTTACACACGAACTTAAAAGACTAAAACAAATTCTAAGATATAAATATATATATTTATTGTATATTCATATATTATATATGACAAATATTAACTGATTAAACATAGTTTGAAAAAGGGTTTTGTAAGAAGTTTAGACAAATTTATAAGGACTAAAAGGCTTTAGTTAGACACAACATAAATTTACCAACTGTCACTACGATTTGACAGAAAGTCCTGAAAATGACAAAAAATAAAAAACATTAAAAAAAATAATTTACTCATTTGTAAATCACATTACAAATTTTCATCTATAGATCAGAATACTCATTAAAGAGCAATCCTTAGAAATACTGAATAATAATGTAGTATACAAATATATTTGTAAAACATAATCTAATATAAAACTTTGTGCTTATTAAATTATGAGCACAAAAAATATGCATATTTTATCCAGTTTGAGTTTAGTTTAAATAGTTTTTAATCAGAATAAATTAGTGTAATCTAACGTAAAGGTAATTTTAGAAGTAATTTAGGTATTTAAGGGGTTTTGACATGACAGAGATTATTGTAAGATTATTTCTGACTCGTCTTTTGTGTTAATAAAGTTAGATCCTGTTCATTCTGACTGCAGCTATCTGAAATGCGGTCTGATCCAAGATGGCCGCCCTCTAGGCACGTCGGCCAGCATTCAATGAGGCGTCTATGGGTAAAATGATGGACTTCTGTTCATTATGGTGATCATTTTATCAGCCCTTTGAATCAGGATTAAAACTGTCGGTGGAAATCTGTCAAAGTGAGACCTCTTTGTAAAACAAAGACAGGAATCCAAAGAATCAGTGTCCAGCAGTTTTTTTATTCAAACATCGGATCTTTGCGTCATCGATCCAGAACTTTTTATTTAATGTAAATAAACAGAACCAAGTGGCGGCGAAGCCACTTTGAAGAAATACGAACGTATTTACTGCCGTGCCTTCGGACCGAACATCGTTCCTGGGAACTTTTACCAGGAAGTGATGAAACGGAACATCTGAGGCGAAGCAACGAGGTTTTCACAGTTTTCCCAAAACTCATCTCAACCAACAAGCTGAGATTTAATGAGTCCAAAACAACAACAACAAACATGGCAAAGATCCTGCAGCGGGTCAGGAGGAAGGAGCCGACAGTTCGGCGCTCCCTCCTCTTCATCAGTTCCCAGCTTCGCTCTGCTGATCCCGTCCAGCAGGACGTCCAACTGATCAGAAACTAATAAATAATCAATAAATAAAAACTCTTCATCGCTGATGAGGAGCATCTCAGTGGAGGTAAAGTGACTTTATTCGTGGCTTTGATCCGACTTGGATTCACAGCGACGGGCTGGGCAGCGTGTCGCCATCTTCCTCCTCCTCCTCCTCTCTTCCCTCCATCCAAGCGTGAGACAGGATGTCCTCCAGGGAGGGACGGTCCTCAGGACGGAACGAGAGACACCAGCGAATCAAAGCCTGGCATTCTGCGGGGGGAGAGAGAGGGCGGAGCCAAGTCAGCCACTGAATACTCCCTGAGCAGCTAGGAGTCAGAAGGGGCGGGGCCTGTGTTTACCTTTAGAGACGCGGCGTGTGAAGAAGGGCGCGGCCCCGACTATCTCCTGGTCGCGCTCGAACGGGATGTCGCCGCAGACCATGTCGAAGAGCAGCACGCCAAGCGACCAGACGGTGAGCGGGACGGCGTGGTACGTCCGGCTTTGGACCCACTCTGGGGGGCTGTAGACCCGCGTACCTGCATAGAGAGAACGTTAAAACCCCGCCTACTTCCATCATCATCATCATCATCATCCTCCTCCTTCAGCTCCATGCCGCACCTTCAAACTCGTCGTACGCCGAGTCCTTCAGCAGCGCCCCGGATCCAAAGTCGATGATCTTCACCTCCAGCGTCCTGG